GCACACCAGCGGCTGTTTCAGCCGTAGAGGACTGGTTGAGATTCAGCTTGGACACAGGAGCCGCGCAGACGGCAGTCCCAAAAGATTGGGTGAATGATAAGGTCACTGTCGCCGGTTCAAGTGAAGTGATTTTCAAGACAGCATCTGGTGAGTTGGTGCCTAGTGAGGGCACAGGAACCTTTGCAGGGTTCGGGGAAAGCGGTATGAGATGCCGCGTCCGAGGGGCCATTGCAGATGTGCATAAGCCCTTGGTGTCAGCACACAAGTGCTTGGGATTTGGTCGGATAGCTGTGCTTGAGAATGGTGGACAATTGGTCCCGTGAATTCAAAGGCTGGTAGAGCCATCCAAGGAATCATCAACCGTTTGACAGCAGCTGAGGCCGAGACTTGGCTGCCGGTGTATCAGGAGAGGGGTGTGTACAACTTCTATCTCAAGACAAAAGGTGGAAAGCGGCAGGTTGCTGCGAACACCGCAGAAACCGTTGAAAAGGAGCTGAATGCAGCTTCGGAGGCACCAGAGGCCCGTGCCGACCCGGCCGAGGATGCAATTGAAGAAGTGATGGAAGAAGTGGAGGAGTCTGAGAGGCCAAAACTGGTCAAACCTCCAGACTCTAACTCAGCCACAAGTGGATGTGCATGAATCCACAGGGCACGTGGTCTATCGAGACTGGTGCCGGCATTCCGTCGCAGGACGCAGTCTGGGACAGAGACACCAGACGAGAGCCAGTGAGCAAAGAGAGCAAAACCTGGTACCAACTGTTGCATTTGACTATGCATTCATGTCCCGCAGTGACCAGGACGATGATAGGCTGAGGCCCATCCTTGTGATGAAGGATGAGAGGACACAGATGTTTGCAGCAACCTTTGTGGACTCAAAAGGTGCAACCCCTTATGCTGTGAAGTTTGCAGCAGCGTTCTTGAAGAACTTAGGCTACCGCAGAGTAGTGCTTAAGTCGGATGGAGAACACTCCATCATGGCATTGAGAGAGGCAGCGGCCAGAGAAGCCGCCATCGAGTCAGTGCCTGAAGAGTCTCCGCCGGGAGACCATCAAGCGAATGGATTGGTTGAAAATGCAATTCGTGAAGTGAAAAGGCAGATCCGATGTTTCAGGTCGGCCTTGGAAGAGAAAGTAGGCAGGGTACTTCCTGACGAAGACCCGATGCTTGCTTGGTTGCCGCGACAGGCAGCGGACCTGTTGAACAGGTGCAAGAAAGGAACAGACGGGAGGACGCCAGAAGTCCGCCGCAGTGGAAAGCAGTGGCGGAAGCCCGCCACAGCTTTTGGAGAGAGACTCGACTTTAGAGAAGCAGGAGAAGGAACACGTGTCCTGAAAGAGGGACGATACGTGGGGCATCATGGACGCACAGGATCTTTGATGCTGATGACATCACAGGGTGTCAAGCGAGGCATTGGATTCCGACGAATGCCAAATGCCGACAGATGGGATCCTACTGGATGGGATCAATTGAGAGGAATACCTTGGGAGCTGAGTGCACCAAGGCCAACTGCAGGAGAGCGATTGATCGGCGATGACCGGTTTGTCGTACCTCCGCCACCGCCTGAAGCGCAAGTGGCACCACCTCAAAGAAGGAAACTGTACATCAGAAGAGAAGATGTGCACAAGCATGGAGCAACTGAAGGTTGCCCAGGTTGTACTTGTGTCCTTGAAAATCGAAGGACAACAGTGCCTCATACAGAAGCTTGTAGGGCAAGAATCATTGAGGCAATGGAGAAAGACGAGACTGCAATGACTGGAGCAGAGAGAATCCAGGCGCATGCAAAGAAGCGCAAAGAAGACCAAGAGAGAGACAGACCAAAACCAGCGGTCGTTTCGACCGAAGAGCGAGCAGACCGGTTGAACCGAGCGGCGTTGAACATCCGCCGCCGGAGATGCTGGAAGATCCAAATGAGAGAGCAAAGCTCAAGAGGCAAGCGATGCCAACTTTTTGAAGCAAAGGCAAAACCGAAAGTGTCACCACAGCAAGTGAAGCGACCTGGGGGTCTGAGCATTGCATCAGGGCCACCATTGACTAAGGCGAAACCATCGCCGACACAAGGTTTGAAGCGTACCGCCGAGGAGGGTACGGGAGATTTGGAATCAGAACCACCGCTGAGCAAGCGGCTGCTCCAGCCGCAGCACCAGCAGCGGAGAGTGCACCAGACACAAGCGCACAAGATCTGAAAGGTGCAGCTTTGGCTGTGCTGAAGGACGTTGCTGTGGGCAACATCAAGACTTTGGTGGAAAAGACGTACAAGAAGAATGGGATCGAAATCTCATCTCAAGAAATCGCTGACATTGCGAGTTTGAGTTGTGAAATGGCAGCAACAGATATTGCAGAGGTTTACTCACCGAAACGCTTTATAGCGCTGGCGCAGCAGTACAAGCTGAGGCCAGGGTTCGCTGTAAATCTTTGCGAGACAAAGAAAATGGTGAATACTGGAACCTCAACAAGACAGCGGACATGGAACTTCTTCACGAGCTGATAGATCGTGAAGAGC